TAATCGGGACAAAAAAATTGAGGAAAAAACACACCAAATGTATGAAGGGAATCTTTCAAATAAAATTTTTATCCACATGGCCCATCTGAGTTAGGTTTAGAAATCTGATGATGGGGTGTGAGGGGAAAAAAAGAGCAGGAAACGTTGTTCAGGGACTCCAAAGTGTAATAATTTTGCCCACTCATAAATTGATAATTAGATTATTTTAATTGAGAAACTGCCACTAATACAGAAGGGTAAAGAAGAGGGCAGAGCATTAACAAAAATCAAATCTGAAATATTAAAAGAGAAAAAAAGGAGGTTTGCTCCTTAGTTATCTTTAAGATTTCAGTCCTTGGAGAAGTTTTCATTTCAACTGAAAGCAAACCCTTCAGACTCTTTCTTTACCCTCTCCCTAGTGATTGTTCCCTCCTTCCTCATCTACTCATACAGCTACATTGGCCTATCTTTCTATACATGGTGAAAGTAAAACTAACACAGTATCTGCTTCAGAAGACCATAGTTTAAGGTCAAAGCAGTGATAGTTAGGATGGTTATGTTCACTTAAGAGCCATTGCTTCTTCATTTACAAAATGAACGTACTTAAAGATCCGGGTGCAACAGACCTTATAACATTGTACCATCGTGAGTCAGCATAGGTGAAAGTGCCTTAAAAATCTGACTTCTTGTTGTTATTAATGATATTTTCATGACATCGCATAGTCTCAGCTTTCAAAACATGTGCAAATTACACCAATCTAAACCTTGTCAGCTTCCCCTAATATTATGATCTTGTATTAGCTTGGAATGTTTGTCAAAATTAAGAAACAAACATTGCTTCCTTTCTCTTAACTGCAAACTTTTCATAAGCTTTTTCATATTTCATCGTGTTTTCCATTAATGTCTCTTTCCTGTTTCAGGACCCATCATAAGGCCTTTAGTCATCACCTCTCCTGTGTTCTGTGACAGTTATTTTCCTATATTTTTTTTATGACACTGTAAGTTTTGAAAAGTAATGATGAAGCATTTCTCTCAGTTTGGGTTTGTCTGATATTGTCTCATGGTCAGACTCTAGTTATGGGTCTTAGAGCAAAAGTAAGTCTTACTCATCATTTCCAGTCAGGTAACATTGATTATGTTAACGTCACCTAAGATATTCTGTACTAGGTTCCTCTCATATAAGGTTATCTGCCCTTTTCACACTCTGTTCTTTAAAAGTGAGTCACTAAACTCAGTCCACTTTCATGCATTTAGGATTTTAAAGTGAGCAAAATAAGCATTAATGTTACCTGAAACATCACAAATATGACATTGACTCAGGAATAATCTCCCAGAGAATTCTTCCTATGCAGCATTGAAGAAAAGCCTGGAATATTTTCTTAGAAAAGCGGTGGTCTGTCTACTTATGTTGCAGCCATTTTCAACCAATCAGTGTTTTATGATTCCCAATCCCAATCATTCTCCAAATCCTGTTAATTCTTTTGAAATGTTCCTTCTTCTCTAGTTCTCTTTTTCATAGTTTCCCATTAGTATGATGCTCATTTCATTCTCCTTTACAGTGATATTAGCTCTCTATTAGCCTCAACAAGATCTTGGGGTTTCAGAGAGTTAATTAAATTTCCCTTTCCTGTTTTCTAGTATGCCATACAGCAACTTTTCACCTGCTAGATGCTCAAAATACACTTGTTACTGTTACAAATAAGCTCCTCTGGCAAGTTGAGAGAAATGCATGCTTTCCTCTAAGGTGAGGACCATTGTGAGGAAATCCATGGCTAGTACATTTTGGAGAGGCGTTTTTTTTTTTTCTCTCTCAAGAGTAGAAAATACTCCAAATCCATGACATTCTCTTTGTGAGTATAGCTTGACCCACGTGAGCCTATGACAGAAATGCATACCCTTCTGATTTTGAAATATCATGTTATAATAACACATAAAACATCTATAAGAAACATAAAACATAGCCACTTGTTGATAAATAGATCTAGTCTTGATTCTTTCAAAATTCACAGTCTAACAGAGACACATAAACACATGATTATATGCTCATTACAGAAATGCAGTTTGTATGTGCAAAATATTCAGTGGCCTGAAACAGGTTTGCTCTAGTGAGAAGGCCTCATTCAAGTGACGATGAGGCTTTTTGAATAATGTATTGATTTTTACAAGATATTACGTGACATTATTTTTATATCCAGTCTTCTGCATACAGCAGCTTCACCTCCTGGAATCTTCTGTCTCATTGAAAGCCTTTTAGGCCAAGAAAATCAGTGGAAAATCAGTGTGTACATAATTGTTTGAATATCTATTTCCCCAGGCCTTGGTTTCTTTGCCTTTCTACAGGTTACAAGATGATTGTGCGTGAACAAAAACAGAAGGTACATACTGACAGGAAACAAAAGCACATTTAAACCATGGAGATTTCCTCTTACATAAACCTGCCGTTTGTTAAGCAGTTGCTCTCTGTTCCAAAGGGAAGCTGGCAAAATTTGATGCAAACATTCTCCAGCCACACTGGGAGGAATAACTGAGGGAAAGGCCTTTTTAAAAAGAGTGTAAAAAGAGATGAAAGATCTACCCAGGGTCTTACTCAATCTTAGATACTGCCATTGTAGAAAATGTTACCAAGTTTCTGTATCTAGGTTTAATGCTCATGAAGAGAAGTGACATATTAGTCTGAGAAAACAACTTTAATTGAATGTGTAAATAAGCTTTGGCATTAAAAATGGTATGCATTATCTCCCTGCATATATTGAAATACTCCAGAAATAAACTTATACCACACATAATAAGGCAGAGACAGCTTTCAAGACTGACTTTTATCATCACTCAAGCTTTGTCCAGTCACAAAAAGCTCAGAACTTGGAAGATCTTACTTTAACTTTCCATCATCTTATGTCCACGGTTAATGGTCCCCAGCCTCATTTTCGTCCTGTCCAATAAGCAAAGTAAAACTAAGGCTGTTGTCCATTGTGGATATATAAAGATCAACTGAAGTGAGATGTTTCAAGGCTCAAAATAAGAATGAACTGTTGTTATTTATACAATTAGTGGGCTTTGCAGAAGGTGACACATATTTTACTCTGTAAACCTAAGCCTCTCCATGGGGAGGGTTTTACTTATGTTGCTATTTCTTGTTTTGCTGGTAATTTTCTTCTACACAACATCTCCAAGTTTCAAAGGTATAGAAGGCTTAGTTCCTGCACAGTCTCACTATATAACACTTTAGGTACCACCTCTTGCTGCTAAACTTTGACCTACCTAGGAAATTAACTTCCTCAACCCAGGAAACGCTGAGCTCCACTTTCATTTTGTCATTTAAAATCTCACACAAATTGCTTATCCAATTTACTTTCACACTTACTCTGCTTAACGAACAGAAGTAACTGTAACATTTTTCCAGTGCTTCTTTTACTTTATTTTATTCTTCAATTAATTTAGTGCTTGAGCTTTCTGGATTTAGTCAGCTCATTTAGTTACTCAGTTGGAACGACTTGATTTCCATATTTCCCCATTCTCCACTTAAAATTTTTTGAAAAATAAAATTAACAGTAAATCTTGATAATAAAAACTTTAAAGAAATAGTTGCTCACAGATAGTGTCTCTTCAACACTTTGAAAGTTTTGGAAGTTTCCATTAATACAGTGTTTTGTAAATAGACTAAGACTCAATTTGCCATGAGTACTTGGAGGTTTATTGTTATTTGATGTTTGTTATCCACCAATGGTACAGGAACAGGGATTAAACTGTCATTTTGGAGCACTGAAGAGCTTGTTTTGCAGGTTGACAAAGGTCCAGGGAATCTTTTCCCTGAAGAAATCATTCAGAGCATGATTTTGGGAAAATCCTTCCCACTTTCTTTGGTGATTTAAAGAACTGCCTAGTGGATCCCAAATAGAGTATCAAGCCATAGAAAGACTGAGATTTTTCTGGTTTTGAATTATTCATTGTTTCTATGGATTCTACTGTATTTTCACGTTTATATATTGGGATTTCCTTTTTCCTTTATTGTTTTATAAATGGTATAGTATTTCATTTTTTAAGAGCAACAAATACAAAATAGGAATCAAACGTCAGAGTTGGTGGAAAGTGGAGAGCAATTAAGATTAAAATGCCACCTTTTGCAGAGCCTTTATCCCTCAAAGCTTTCCTAAATAAATTATTTTATCTGAGAGCTCCCCAGCCCACATGCACAAGACAACGTAATAAAGACTTAAGTGTGAACTATATATTCAAGTTGACAGAAAAATTGAGACCTCCAGAAGTCAGTGTCAGATCTCTGGAAGGTGCGCTACAGGATGGCTTACTGTGCTGCTGTATATTTTATTCTCACATAGGCAGGAATATTTATTCTTGTCATTATAGACAAAACCAAAGATTCTGAAAAATTTTTTGAGGTAAATCTGAATTAAAAGCTGGATTTTCCTAAGGCCACAATCCCATCCTCATAAAACACATGACTTTTAAAGCTATAAAAATAAATCCATAAAAGCTAACATTACTAGAGAAATCTAAAGCAAAAATCGCAATGAGATACTTCTTAATACCCACTGGAAAGGACATAGTAGAAAGACAGACAATAAAAGGTGCTGACAAAGAGTAGAGAAATTGGAAGATCATACATTACCAGTGGGAATGTAAAATAGTATAACCAATTTGAAAAACAGTTTGATGTGATGGTATCATAAAAGGTCAAAAATAAACAATATATGATCTCACAATTACACTGTCAGGGATTTCCCTTAGAGTCATGAAAATATGTCCATATACTTCCATACAAATGTTGTTAGTAGCATTACTCATAATATTCAAACACTGGAAACAACCTAGATGCCCATTGACTTGTGAATGCAGAGACAAAATGTGGCGTAGCCACGTAATGAAATGCTATTTTGCAACAAAAAAGAACACACTAAGGATATGTACCACAACATGGGTGAACCTCGAAAACATGTCCAGTGAAAGAAGCTGAACACAAGTGACCAAATTAAATCATAATTCAATTTATAGAACTATGCATAGAAGATAAAGCTATGAAGACAGAAATCAGATTGCCAGCTGCTGGGTGGAGGGGGAGGGACTGTGAATTAACACTAAATGTGTATGAGGGCTCATAATGCCGTGGTGGAGATGTTCTAACATAGATTCATTGTGATGGATATGTAACTCACAAAGCTGGAAACCATGAATTATACAACGTAGAAGATATGTTTAAAAAGAATTATTTTTAAAAAGCTAAGAAGGACAATGTCAACATCTATGAACTTTTAATCTTAGTAAATCCTTGTAGGTCCTTTTATATCACCAAGAAATAGGACTTGAATTATCTTAATAGTGGTAAATAAGGGATATAGAGTATATTAGAAATGTTAAAGGAATGCGTAAGTCTAAACAATTTCTCCTGTGGTTCCCTAGTTCTTCAAAATAGCAAGTGAATTCCAATTTGATTAAATGCATCTAAGTGATCTATAAAATCAGATCTAAACAAACAAAATATAAGTGATGTACACTTTCCATGCTATTCTCTTAAAAATGACCAAGATATGACATATATATATACACACACACTCACACATATGTGTGTATATGTATATATCCATCCCCAAAGGTAACTGTGATATATTGAAAAAATAAACTAATAAAAAGCAACAAATATAAAAGATTTGTTAATCCAAAAAGGGATTTTTTTTTAAATTTTTGCATTATCTGCTGTCTACACTCTTCTGTCAAAAAAATCTCTAGTTTTCAAATCCATGGAACATTTGTTTACTAAACTCAAGGTAAGGTGTTTATTTACTAAGATGTGTGTTTAGTAATAGGGTTCTGAATTATTTTCACATATCCAAAGAACAATTTAATTTCTTAAAATATTCAAGAATTAGGGTTTTATTTTTTTACTCTGTCATTTTTTTTCTTTTTTTTCTGGCAACATAAGAATACACAATACAGATGAGTTAAGAAGAAAATAAGACACAGTGTCAGTTGCCAAAGGAGTGAAAAATAAAGGCAACATCTTGTCCATCAAAAAGCTCAGATCAAGGGTCTTTTTCTTTTTTTCTCAAATGATGACAACTCCAGAGCCACCAGAAAATAAATAAGCAAAACCATAGGAGGCTTTTCTCTATGGCTTCTACTATAATGTCTGGAATTGAAAAGCATGTCATTTTACCAGGAGGATGGCCCGCAAAATTTTATCTACAATAGCAAAAGAAAAAATAAATTTGAATAGGGACCTGTCATATCTGTTACATTTGGATAACTATCATCATGCTTTGCTGGATGCTGCTGATGGAAATGTCCAGGAAGAATTATCTACATCTACCTTCAATGATATAGAAGAATTCAAAGCACAGATTTATAATCCTCACATAGGAGCTTCAGAACAACTGGCATCATTGTTGTCTGTGGGAAACAGGCCCTGGTTGGTATTCTGCGTTCATTTTTCTCAAACAGAAGTTGCCCGCTGAATGCAGTAAAGTTGAGTTTGTATGCTCTCTTACGGCCTTTTTGCAATCAAGAAGACCTTGTTTTCCAGGCCACAGGAAACTGTTGGTACAATGAAGGAGGTTAGAATTATGACCATGTCCGATAGCACCTGTGAGCCTTCTAGCACCTATTCCTAGTGTCCTGATGGAAGAGAGGCGAGAGTGAATGCATTTAACAAATTGTGGGTTTGGAATGCACAGAGAAACAAAATTCTGAAAATTTTGAAAACCAGTTCTTAAATTTAAACAATTAAAATGTTTTACAAAGGACACAAATCACATTTTTTTTCATTTTGCACTTATACTCTCAGTCTTTAGGAAAAAGAATAGAAATTGCATTTGAAGGTACTGAGAAAATTTACGAATTGGCCAAGTTCTTTTACTAATGCCTTATAAAATGTGTGCCTGTCACAGTCTATTAATTAGAATCAAACAGAATTCCAGAATCAAATATGTTCCCAACCAGTTAAGAATTTAGGAAAATCACTTAATGACATGCTGGCCCAGATGCCTCATCTATCACAAGGTAACAACAATTTCTAGCAAAATTACTTCATATATATATTTTAAGTACAAAATTAAAAAGATACATGTAAAAATATTTAAAGGAAAAGCATTTTATATAGCAAATATGTCATTCTCATTTTAAAAAATGAGACAGTCTCCTCTTTAATGCCTTAGTTTACTTAAGGATGAAAGCCAGAGTAAGTCCTCTAGGAAATGACTGGGCTCTGGTTTACATTTTTATAATATGAGGGTGATAAAGGCCGATCTGTAGACATGACAAGTACAAAGTCCTATTGCATAGGTTAGAGTTTGAAGAGTCTCATTAATCATGCTCCATTGTGTTATAGGTTCTGTAAACATTGCAAAAGCATCAAGTACAGCCCTTCTCTTTGTGACATCTTTCCAACCTAACCCCGGGAAGCCTTTGAGATTTCCTTAAATGACTGGATTTCATTTCAGTCATTAGTTAACCCTGCCTAGTGGGTGACTCTGAATCCCACCAGGCAGAAGTAAGGGGATATGTATTCAAACAGTTCAAACATGGTCTGTCCCAGGCACATAACCATTAGGAACAGTAGGGGGGCTTTCCTTTCTCAGGATAAGTCAAGTTGTTTATGTGAATCACGTGTAATAGTCCACATTTATTTGCCTTTGGAAACTAATGCAGTAAAGTTGTAACTAGGAAATTAATGCTAACAATCCTTCCTTTGGATATGTTGGGTAAGATTAAAAAGAAAGTTCTAAATGATTCATAAATTCTTTGGCATAGCCTTTTATGTAGGAATAGGTTATTTTGACATAAATAAGACACCAGGCCACCTCTGGTACTACAGATTCAAGTACATTTAAAATTCACCAGGACTCTTCTGTAAAAGGTTATCTTTATAGTTTACTTAAACTTAGCTTCCAAAGTCTCTACCCTTCTCATTTCTAAATATTTTATCATTTATTTACTTAGTAATATTTTAGTAATATTTTCCTCCTTGGAAATACGTGAATGTAAACCTATCAGCTGGAATTTAGCTTTGTTTTGTCTTTTAAAGCTATCATAGCAAAGATCCTGACCAAATTAATGCTAACACCACTTAAATAATTGTGCGGATGGGGTAGGGGATTTAGTTCAGTGGTTTTGCCGCCTGCTGGGCAAACCCAAAGACCCTAGTTAGATCCCCAGTACCAAAAAAACCCACAAAATAATTGTGTGGTTGGAATTTGTATACAACATATGCATGTATATCTCAATATTAGTAATTTTAAGATCTAATTGAAAAATGTACTAAACACCAATGTCCAAGTTGTTTTGCAAGATTCAGATATTGTACCATATTGAGTAAAATCATTAATGTTCTGAAGTGCCTTTCTTACCATTGATCCTTTACCTTCCTGTACATTAGAGGTAAACTCATGGATATGATGGTTAGAGACTGGTCTAATTAAGCAAATGTTAGAGATTTACTATCATTTTTTACCTCTTCGATACTACTCAACACTTTTTTCATATTTCAAAGTAGTAAAATTCCATCTAAGCAAGTATTAGAAACAATAATATAATTGCATAGCTGAATAATTTCAGTGGATGAGTTATAAGAAGATAATAAGTTGTGAAAATGTCAAGATGTTTACATCATGGACTAAATAATATGAATGAATTACAGGCATGAAATTCTTTACTGGGCTTTGCATATCATAATATTATTACACCATTATTGTTCATAACTAATCACATTAATAAAATATATATTTTCTATCACTCTTGGACCATGTTTCCTTCTCTCTAATTTGATTGTTTCCATTGTACTTTTTCAAGTTAAAATTTATCCTGATGTATTTTTCCTTTTCTTTGTTAGTATGTGAATAGTACCTACATTTAACTACTTAGATCATTATGTATTTCTGAAGCCCTATCCTGTTCTAGGCAGTGTATTTGGTGCTAGTAAAATTCGCAATAATATCAACTCTAATGTAAATTATTGCAAAGGATTCAGATAACTAGCTAAAATTACAGAGCAATTCTAGATGGTACAAAACTAGGGCAAACACAAAACTCTGTGGAAGAACACAAAGTAGGCACCGAAGACAGTCTTTTGGACTTTTTGATAAGACATAGAATTTTACAGAAACTTACCTACAGTTGTTCACATTGTACATGGAATATAACCTGTGTAGAAAGGAAAAAGAGAGAAAGGCAGTGATGCACCTTCCGATTGAGTTTAGAAAAGTGAGCTTTATACTGACAGGAGTAAAGAGTCACTGAAGATTTTTAAATAGGATGGTGATACGAGTCAATTTGTGCTTTTGCTATTGAACTCTGCCAATATGAAAACAAGTGAATGTGGGTTTGTTCCTTTAAAACTTTATTTACAGAATAATTCAGCTAGCTCGGACTGACCCACAGGTCATAGCTGGCAGGACTTAAGAGAGCTGCTGATAAAGTAGAATTACAAGTGTAAAGCAGAAAATGTCATGTTTCTGGCTTAGTCAATCTGAGCAGCAGATGCTTACCAATGAGTAACTCTAAGGCACATGTGTTAGTGTATCATATAGAATGTTATAGAAACATACAAAGACTCTGTTATGATTTGGATCTAAAATGATCCCCAACAGATTTGAGAGTTCAGAATTGTGGCTTTTGAAAAGTGATTGGATCATGGGGAAAGCAAACTGATCATTACGTTAATATGATCATGAGTTCATAGCTGAATGTGATATTAGGCTGTAGGCCATGGTTGGAGGAAACAAGTCAGTCGTGGTATAACCTGGCCCTGTTCCTTCTCTCTGGCCTTTTCCATCTCTCTTTATCTCGGCTACCATGATTGGAGCAGCTTTTTGCTCTGCAGTTCCCCTCCATTATTGCCTTGGAACCAAATAACCATGAACTGTGAGCCAAAACAAATCCTATGTCACGTATTTGTCCCAACAATGAAAAACTGACTAATCAAAACAAAATCACAGAAGTGATTATATTTTGGATACTTTTTTGAAATGACCTTACAAAGACATGGGGTTAAATTAAACATTATAGAACCAAAGAGTAAGCTAGTTATTCTTTTCTTGTAAAACTTAAGACATAATTGTTCACCTGTAAAGTAAATAATCATTTTTTAAACATTGTACTTATGGAGACAGTATTTGGACACCACCAAGTTTTGAAAACAAAAGGTGTGAGATGGAGACAAAATATTACAGCATTGTAACATGTAATATTTTGAAATGCTTAACGAAGAGTCACACATAAGCTGCAACAAGAGGGGAAATATGGAAACATTTAAAGAAAGGATGTGACTCACAGGAAGAAAGCCCATCTGAAAACTCAGAAAAACATTAGGGAGGAGATGGAGGAGAAATCCACACTGATAGGAAATAATGATTTGGAGAGCAGATGTTGTAACATCTCATTCTTAAGAGATAAAATGAGTAAAGAATCTGCCTTTTCTCCCTAAAAAGTTACATATTTTCTATCCCATTTCGTTCCTTTTAAGAATACTTTCATCTGTAATTTATCTTTACTCAAGATTGGGCTTTTACCGATTTCCAAGGTAACATCACTGACTTCACCGTAAAGATCTAGTATTGTCATGATATTTTCCAATTCGCTTCATCTCCATTTTGACTGTCACCTATCATGTTCTGACAGTGAATGTCGAGTCCATGAGGCTGTGCCATAATGTGATGTTAAAAGGCTGGGAATCTTTAATGTCTGGAAACATTTGGCATGGAAACCTTCACAGAACAATGAAACATTTCCCCCTATCTAAATTGATTCATGTCAATGGGCTTTAGGTCTCAAGCACCCATCCATAACTATTCAAACACCCAATATTAAAGGGAGGACATAGACATAAATGTCAAAATTCAAAGACAGCAGAGTTGATGCCATTTCTAGTTCTCAACTCTAACCTGACAAGTTTTAATATCTCCAGTTGTATGCAGATAAGGTTTTGTTTTGCTTTTCCAGAAAAGAATGTGCAGGCAAACATGAAGATTATATTTAGAGCTTGTGTGTACCACATATATATATATATTTTTTTTTTTTTAATTTCACTAGAAAAAATATCTAGTGTCCAGAAGTTAAATGCACAATTTCTCCATGTTCCAAAATGCAGCTGTCAGAACTTATTATTATCATTATCATTACTTTTATTCTCACCAGCTTCAAAAGACCTTTCTAGTTATGCTATCTGCCATGTGGAAACAAGTACATATGTCTAGCAACATAGCCTTAAGCTTATTCCTTTTATGACATAGTTCATTTTAATGAAATAGAGCCACAGGTTAAAAAAGAAAGAAAGAAAGAAATCTAGGTTTCTACCAAGTATATTGTTAGAATGAGGCTGGGTCTAGCCAGTTTTCATAGAGTGCCCTTTGGACATTCAACTATTTTACATGTATAAGAAATCCCTCCCATCTCAAATATCACTGTACAGAATATGGTATGCTCTATTCCAAAATTCCACATATTCATATATAACATTATTTTCGTATCTTAAGTTATACCAATATATCCATATTCTGACTAATTAATGTGGGCTAATATACATTAATCCTAATTTAATTTTCTCTTGGTTAAATCTCTGAATGTAGGAAAATTTCCGTATTTCTTTATTAGGTTTATTAACACCATGGAAAGGTAATATTTACAATTAGTTGTAGAAACTTACTGCTTTGGCTGAAACTATTCCAAAGTAGGTGATCAGAACTATAACTCTTCAAAATTTCATAGCCATAGGACATAGAATACATTTTAGGTAATTCAATGCTTTAAGAAAACATTTTAAAAAGTCACATCTTGGAAGTAACTACTCAAGTCATTTGGGGAATATTTGGAAATGGATTGCTTATTATATGCCTATTAATTTCTATTATTCTAGGGTATGATTTGTCATGTAGCAAAAATGTACTCTCCCCATGTCAACTTTACAAGTCCTATCGCTCAAATATTGTCAGAAAGTAGGCATCATGGAGTTTGTATCTACTTAACCTCAGATTTTATGCCCTTAGAGGTATTGACAAGGCTGCTCAAAATAGACTAGAATGTTCAGTTGTCTTGGATTTCAAGTCAGAAACAAGATATCTGCTATCATATCACACAAGGTCTAAATACTCAGAAAACAATAACTCTTGGCATATCTGAACATCGAACCTCCTACGCATGTGGTGGACATCTGCACCCGGTATTGCAGATGAAAATCTGAATAGAAAGTTCTTGAGCTGTGATCCCTCAGAGTTTGTTTGATTGAAACTAGAGGAAAGAACATTACATTTCTTTAGTTGACAATAATGGTATGTATGTATCTGATAAACCCATCAATTATTGTCCAACTGCAAATTACTGGTTTGCTTTTATTCTAGATCTAATCGTTTTAAAACAAGTACCTGCCAATTTTATTAACAATCTGAAGCTTGTCAAAGTGACAAATTATTCTTACAGTACTTCTCCGCTGATTCCAATACAAATTATGATTTTCTAGAATGTCGTTCCTATACTTTTACTTCCTTATGCATTTACAGAACAAACAGTTAAAAACTGAAGATGGAAATAAATCATTTCTGAATAATTAAGTAACTTGCAAAATTCTTAAATTTCAGCAAAGGCAATTGCCTAGGAGAGAAGAGATTGCTGATTGTGCTTGCCACATACACTGTGTATCGCTTTAATAAGGTTTTCCCAAATTTTGGTTACTTTTACCCTCCTATAGCCCAAAATCCATTGGGTCCCTCAGCTGTAACTTCAATCTTTTACCTTAGTATCTGCTTGTAAATCAAAAATCCTTTCCTTTATTGTCTATTGGTAAAACTCAATTATTCTGGAAGTTGCCCACATCCTTACTGAATGTTAGTAAAGAACAAGTTGGAGCTAAATGTAGAAAATAAATGACAGAGGAAAATATTTCTCCTGATAAGGTAGAAATATTTGTGCTGATCATATCTAGCTTCCCTTTACAATTTTTGAGCCTCCTTATCTTTTTCAAAGAGTTAATTAACTCCAGAAGGTCTCATCTGTAGTGATGTCAGCAGGAAAGCGATAGGGAGGAAGAGTAGAATGGGTGAGGTTTCTAGGAGAGAAATTACCTAGACAGCTTTGCTTTTACTCATTATATCTGCTTATGTTTCTAGGGCAAGAAATTTTTCTGTTGAAGACAATTTTCATGAGCTAAAAATTTTTTAAGCCACTAGAAAAACTCTCTTGATCCAGCTATTTCTGGTCTGTAGAAAATAAATATTTGTCATCAGTATTGTTTCCATAGCAGCAATTCCTAGAAACTTGTGATCTCTTATTGATTCCTGATATTGCTTCAGAATCCTTCTTAACTCAGAATTTCAGAAAATTACCGTAATTGGTCAATATGCTGGGATATCAGTTTTAAGTAATGCTTTATCATTCCTCTAGTAGTTTCTTAGCATTTCTTCTTTCCTACCTCTAGGGTTATATGTTGACGGGCGTAAGAACACCTTGATTTCCAATGGTCTTCCAAAGATGGACTTCTAAAAGTTAATTTTGTCATCTCAATATCTCTTACATTAATCCATTGCCACTGTTTCCTTCTAAACATTAGCTTACATTTTTTATAAAGTGTTTTCAACAAAAACTCATGTTGCATAAGCCATGGAATATTTTCTTAGTTGAATATACATGGAAAATGCTATATACTACAGCCTCTTCTGAAGCATCACATGCTGTAATAGCTAAGGAAAAAGTCATAGAAGTGATGTAGTAGAAGACAGCCCTGTCTGACTTAGTTTAATCAAACATGTCCCAGATTTATTTGGACACTGAAGACTTATGGAATGACATTTCATGTTTGGAAATGGTCCAATAATTATGCTCAAATGTCTTGTCCCTTCAATTCATTGTATTCTCTACCAGAAGAATTCTTTTTCTAAAATCATACGATTGAGTACATGGTCCTAATGTTAAAAAACTTCTAATGGATTCACAGTTGCAATAGAATAAGTCCAACCTCCTGACCAAAGTATTCAGAGATTGAAATTTCTTTTTTAATCTATCTTTATCAATTGCACAAAGGTCAAGTTTGGAGAGCAGGTTTTCTTTGCATGCAGTGAGTAGTTCATGAATGAATCTGTTCCCTCAGTCCCCTGTCTTTCTGGATTCCATTCAGCTTTGTCTCTCTTCTCTCAGGACAAAATTCATCTAATGTG